GGGTGGATTCTTAAAATCTTGCCCACCTCAATCGGTGTTTTAATAAACCTTGTCTCGGACTGAAAGGATTGAGTTGAATTCATTTGGAGCAGGACCCGTGTTTTCTGCCCTTGAATTTTGGGGCTCCCAGCACCCCTAGATTACAACAATATGGCAGCAAACATTTCTTGAGTTCTAATGTCAGACAAAGTCAGATTTGGGGTGGGGGTACACAGGGATGAGTAAGACCTAGCCTTTGCACTCAAGAACCTTTCAGTCTAGCAAGACTTCATTGGCAATTCCATTTTTACATACTGAAGGCAGTGATTTCATAGCAAGGTTGGGAGCACAAGGTAGGCAGATAGGAACAGGGGTGGGAATCACCTGGATATTTTAAGCCCCAAGAGGAGAGGGAGTCAGATTTTGGCCCTATATAAGGAACATTTCCTAACAATTAGATTTTCCAATTATTCCAATCCAAAATGTAATTTTCCAATTAGATCTTGATAAAAAAAAATAGAATGATCTACCTGGGTAAATAGTTTAGTAGACAGTTTGTGAGCTGTTGTGGCCAAAATAATTCTTTCCTTCTTAGTGACGATCCCTCTTCCTGGAGCTATTCAAACACAGGCTAGGGGACCACTTGTTAGTGATGGCATAGAAGGGGTTTATGCATTGAGCAGGTTGGACTGAGATGCCATCTGAAGCCTCTTTCAAGGCTGAGATTCCTCGATTCCATGAGAGTAGTGTTATAGGTCTCCAGACATTTGAGAGGGGCAGTGCCTAGACCATGAACCATAAAGTTCTTCTCCGGGGTGAGAGATGATGTAGGTTTTGGGCAATGGAAACAGTCATGGACTCACAGACTGTCAGAGCCTTGGAGGTCTTTTGTCCTGCTCTCATCCTTATGCTCCAGTTACCCTGGCCTCCCCACCTCTGCCTCCTCCCAGTGGCAAAAGTTTAGGAACCATTTCCACCCCCTCCCCCTACTCCCACTCCAACTTGCTGTTGAGTTTTCCCCAGGAGGAACAATTTTCAGTTATGGTACTGGGAGCTGCTTCTCTGCTTCTCTGCTTGTAACATGATCTTCCTTCCTCTGGGCTCAGATCCCTATTCCTTCCCTTTGCTTTTTCTCTCTTTTCAGTAAAATTCCCATTCCCATTTGTTTAAGAGTAGGCCTTCTTACTGTTCCTTGAACATAACACTATCCCATTCTGTTCCTTTTTGCTGATGGTTCCATGTTCCTAGAATGCTCTCTCTCCTTGCCTCTGGTGTTTAGACTTCGAAAGGCATTTTGGGTTTTAGGGCTCTATTTTTTTCCTTCCCTATTATTTATTCTAGGGGCAGCTAGATGGCGCAGTGGGTAGAGCATTGGCCCTGGAGTCAGGAGGACCTGAGTTCAAATCTGCCCTCAGACACATGATACTCACTAGCTGTGTGACCCTGGCCAAGTCACTTAACTCTATCACCTCCCCCCCAAAAAAAAATCACTTATTATTTATTCTGTCATTGTTTCCCCCCTGAAAAACTGAGACAATTAACTCTTGTCTCATGTAGTTTTATGATTTATTGAAATATAGCTCTGAAAAAACAGGTTTTGTTTAAAGTCCATTGTGATTCAAATGTAACTACTCGACTATACCCTTAAACAAGACCTGTACAACTTGGCAGGAGACAGGGGCCAAAATTAAAATAGGCTAAACTGCTTTGGGCCATAGACAGGTTTTTAGTGCTGATTTTCCAAATAAAGGTATAATTAATGATTAAACTGTTTTGCAAATAAGCCATATTTTAAAAAAGAGAAATTTCAATTAATATCAATTAATTGCACTTACAACTTAAGATTTTTATTTATCATGAAATCACATCAATGTTTTTAAAAAATTACTTTGCTAAGTGGTACAAATTTTAATAGATTTTTCAAGTTTTCTCACTGTTTACATTTAGTTAATGAGACGTATTACACTTCTTGTCAGTGATCAGTTTGTCGTACTCCAGAATCATGTTTGAAATAGATTTCGTTAGAAATCTGGAAACTAACCTTAGTAGCCACCTCATTTTCTGAGTTTACTTTCTTGAAAAACAAAACATTGGGGCAGTTAGGTGGCACAGTGGCTAGAGCACCAGCCCTGAGGTCAGGAGGACCTGAGTTCAAATCCAGCCTCAGACCTAACACTTACTAGCTGTGTGACCCTGGGCAAGTTACTTAACCCCAATTGTCTAACAAACCCCCCCCAAAAAAAAAAACAAACATCATTCCCCACTGAGATTTTTCAACAATTTGGATGCTTTCATTTGTTTTTCACTGGTTCCGATTTGCTTAAGTCAGGATGATTTGATTTGTATTCCTTTGGAACAGCTATTACTTCTCAGCAAACAAGGCACAATATTTTGTCTCATGTAAGTAAACAAGTGTCTATTTGTCCACTCAGGATTAAATGTTCTATGTCCTGATTCAGTCTTCCATTTCTTTTTATCACCCATTTTACAAAGTCACCCCAAATACTTTAATGCTAGAACCAGAAAACCTCCACAATAACTGCTCACTTACAAAGAAATACTGCACTGAGTGTCGGACTTGGAGAGAGCGCCAGACACTCATGCAACTTGGAGGGCAGTCACGCAGAGAGGGTGGGGAAGAAGCTCTTGTGTTCTTGTGGCTCCATCACATAGTAGGCGTCAGCGGCCTTGGCGCGTGGCTGCACTCGTTTTGTCCCTGTTCAATGCCAGTGATGACTACGACTCTTGCTCCTCAGACTAGAGACAGAGTGATGATGGTTGGATGCCACAACTCACCCGACAAACAGGAGATAGCGCACAGTTGGCAACCCACCCACCAAGCTGCATGACGGGTGCAATAGTGACTAGCGGGAGGCAGATTAAGCAGGGCATGGACAAAGCACCTTTGGTATCTTTACTTCCTTTTTCGTCCTTTACATTTTTCGCAGCCACCTGAAATCCTTTGGCGGCCCACAGGCAGTGTCGTACAGGCTTGCTTTAAGCCCATGTCAGCCTGGCTTTCGCCGATTGTCCAATAATAGGTCCCAGCCCAAGTCTTACTTGCTGCTTGTTTGGGTTTTGATGGCTCAGAGTGAGGGCAAATGGTTAACAATTGTTTCTGTTCTGGCCAGAAACTCTGAGGGTCTTCCCCTTCTGGACTGACTCTTTTAGGAAGGCAAACTAGGCCATCTTTTGCCTCAATTCTTACGTACCCTTTAAGTACTGAGTTGGCATTGCCTCGGATAAACCAAGACCCAGAAAAGACCCTAGCTTAAAAAGGCCAAGGTCTGCTGCTGCACCTGGGCCATTGCCAGGCATCTTGATTTATGTCTCGCCACTGGACTCCAGTGATTCTGAAGGAGAGAGTGAGGCTGAGGACTCTGCACAGCTCTGCCTCACTTAAATCCAATTGACTTGCAAATCAAGACATCCCCCTCCTGATGTCATTGGTCCTCTTTGAGAATGAAGGACCACTACTACCACCACCAACAGCTTCCCCAGCCTCCCCAGCTGCTAGTGCCTTCTGACTAATATTATCATCATTTACACTACATATATCTTATATGTACAAGTTATTTGTATCTTTTCTCCCCCATTAGAATGTGACCTCCAGGAGGGCAGGCACCCCATTTTTGCCTTCCTTTATATCCATCATGCTTAGCCCAATGCCTAGAATACAGTAATTCTTGTTGACTGACTGACTGAGATCTGCCTTCCTCACGAGCATCTCTGTTGATGACTTTCTGTATAATCTTAGATAAGTCACTTCACCCCTACAAGCTGAAGTTCCCCTATATGTAAATCGAGGGTAATGCTTTCTAGTTTGCCTTCCTTCTTTCTAGCCCTATTGTGAAGACACCAAAACATAACAGCTATGAAGACCCTTGATTGCTGTAAACGTGTGAGCGCTTAGCTGTATTTACTGCAAACCAGTAAGGGGTAGTGGAAATGATGGGGTGATGAGACCTAGACCCCTAAAAGGAAAAGATCATATCTTTGAAAGCAGCCCAGCCCCCGAATTTTCCCACACATTTCAGCAGCCCAGATCACTGGCTTCTCACCCAAGGCATCTGGCCCATCCCGGCTGGCTTAGATACTTTGACAGTCCTTTCACAGTGGCCCTTGACCAGCCCGAGACCACTCAACTCTTTTTACAATTGCCCCTGGCCCACTCCAGGCTATTTACCACTCCTTAATTTCATCGAGATCTTTTCACTGTCCTTTTTTTGTATATAAGAATCAGTCTTACCCACATTAAGTTGTAGATTCACAAGGAATCTTGCCTGTACTATCGGTGTTGCAATAAACCTTGCCACTTTGACTGGAAGTTGATTTGAATGCTTGAATTCTTTCCAGGTGGACACCCCCCCCCGTACCCTGACACTTTGGGGTTCCCAGCAACCCCACACCTCATCAAAAAGATCCCTGACTTGGCTCTTTCACTAACTCACCCTTGTGCTCTTGGGCATGTTACCTAGTCCCTCCAAGCCTCAGTTTCCTTATTTGTAAAATGTAGATAATCTTTGTCCCATTCCCTATTTCCTAGGGCTGCTGTGAGAGATATGCTTCCAGTAACTGTAGTATAAAGGTGGGAACTGTAGTTATTATTATCTTCCTTCAGAAAGCCTTGATAAATGGGAATTATGCACATGCTTTGGAGTTTGTTGATTCAAGTTTTATCAATCCCAAGGTAGCTAAAAGCGATTTTTTTTTTCATAATCTGTCCAAGATAATGACTTCTGGGCTTAGATCCCAAATACCAACTTGAAGCCAAAGACCAGCTTTCCCAGTTAATGATTAAACTTTTAAAAGCCTAATTTATAGGGAATGCCCATGGAGATTTGCTCACCAAAGCTACAAAAGGGGACCCTGGGAGGTTCTGGCCTCTGGCAAGTTGCCTTAGGACCTTTAACTAAGGCCTCATATCCAGGGGAGGGAGAAGGCCACTCCCCTCAGCAGGGGAGAGGAAACATTTGATCACCAAGGATAAATCAACATTGTCTCATTCCGGCACCCAGTGCCCCACACAGAGTCTTCACTGTGTGATAAGCAAACTCTCCCTGAGCTCAGGCCAAGTTCCACATTAGTGGTGAAGTCATGGGAGGGAGGGAAAGCTGAGTCCTGGATGAGCAACATTCACGGAAGGGGGCATTCAACAGCACTTATCATCTACCCATACCTACAGGCAGCAGGGCCTCCCTATTTCACTCCAGGTAAGAAGGCCAGGATTTAAATCCCACTTTTGCAATGTCACTGGGGGTAAACTGACTGTCACTACCACCTCCCCCCAACTAAATAAATCATAGTGGCTCTGGATTCAAATATAAAAAGCCTCTGTTTGGCATTTAAGCCTTTCCCAACCTCCCTCCTTCCTACCTTTCCATTCTTCTTACACATTAATCTCATCCACTCACTCTGTGACCTAACCTAAATGACCCTGTCACACGCTCCTCTATCTCCGGTCCTCAGGCCTTAGCAGTGGTGTTCCCCATCCCTGGAATGCTTTCCCTCCTCAACTCTGTCTCTCAGTTTTCCAGGCTTCTATTCAAGATTTCGACTCAGATCCCTTCTTCTGTACTTTTCCCAGCTTGCTGCCAGTCCCCTTCAGCTGCTAGTATGTTCCCTGTAGAGATTACTTTCCATGTCTATATATCTAATTACTTATATGTTGTCTCTCCCATTAGAATTTGAACACCTTAAAGCACAGGGATTGTTTTGGCCTTTGTTTCTATCCCCAGCACTTAGCACAGTCCTTGGTATGCAGAGTTCGTGTTTAATAATTGCTTTTCAACTTGACCCTGAGCCTTAATTTGTTTATCTGTAAAATAGGAATACTAATCCCTGCTCTGTCTCTCTCATAGGGCTCTTGTGAGGATGAAGCAAGAGTATGGATGCATAGTGTTTCATAATCATAAAGCAATATGAGACATGTGAGTTAGGATTTATTATTATTTTTAATCAGAGGAAGTATGTCATTATATAGTCATTTTGGTTGTGTCTGACTCTGTGACCCTATTTGGGGTTTTCTTGGCAAAGATACTGGAGTGGTTTGTCATTTCCTTCTCCAGTTCATTTTACAGATGAGGAAACTGAGGCAAACAGGGTGAAGTGACTTGCCCAGGGTCACCCAGGTAGTAAGTGTCTGAGGCTAGATTTGAACTCAGGAAGATGAGTCTTCTTGACTCCAGGCCCAACATTCTATCCACTGTACCATCTAGCTGCCTAAGAGGAAGTATAGATCACTAGAGTAAACCCTGGATTTAGAGTTAGGAGACTTGGGCTTCCTTGTGTGACCTTAGGCAAGTCATTTCACCAAATTCATACATCATCTTGTAACACAAGGATAATAATAGAGCTCTACCTTCCTAACTCACAGGGTGTTTGTGAAGGAAGAGATTTTTTAAAATGCAAGAGTGCCACATGAATATAAATAGTGTTTATTATGTCTTCAGTACAACCTGTGTGATCTGTGTAAAGGCAAGTCACTTCACTGGGCCTCAGTTTTCTCATCTATCAAATGAAGGGGTTGCATATGGTCACCTGTAAGGACCATTCCAACCCTGGGTCTATGATCCTTTGACCTCAAAAGGTCCCACCACTGTGGGAGCCCTCTCCATCAATCCAATGTAGATCCCAACCCTTTCATATGTTAACAGAAAGTTTCTGAGCTGTTATGGCCAAAACAATTCATCCCTTCTTCATGGCCAACCCTCTTCTGAGTTTCTCAACCATTATCTAGGCTGGGTGGGTGTCATAGAAGGAAGGGTATGAAGGCAGATGAAACGATACAGGTGGGGGGGAGGGGGGAGAACCATACATTATGGAGGAAGTAAGGAGTGCATCATAGAGAAGAATGAGACACGGTGGGCGTGGGAGCCCTTCTTAAATGGAGGCCTGGTAGGAGCTGTCCAATCAGGGCAGCCGGGCTGGAAGGTACTTCTAATGTGTGAATTCTGGGGCTGAAGTGAGCCTTCAGGATTTAGAACTGGGGCATGGTGTAGCCTCAGGGTGGAAGGTCTGGGGAGCAGGCTGGAGAGAAGGAGAAAAACAAGTGCTAGGTAAAGACAAGGTAAGGCTCAGAGGTACAGGGTGACCTCTGCATCTGTCGCACTGGGGCTGGAAGGAACTTCATTTTCAGACTAGGATCACAGGCTTAGAGCTGGAAGGGACCTCAGATGTCATCTAGCACAACTCTATAATTTTACAAATGAGAAAATTGAGGCCAAGGGAATTCAAGTAAGTTGTCCAAGGTCACGAAGCTAATAAATAGTAAGAATTCGAAGCCATGTCGTCTGGCTCTAAATTCAGTTGCCCCTTATGTCTCCATTGTGGTGAATAGAGGCATTCATGGAAATATACCAGCAGTGGGTATACTTCCACGCTTCCTCCCAGAAGCAACAATGCTCCTCATTCCCCTTCTGATGGTCCTTTGGAGATGCAGGGTACAATTGCTCCTGCAGGACTCTTCTGGGAATGGGACATTGCTTCCTGGTATGACTGCATCCAGAGTGGGACTGTCTTCTGTGTCATTGCATTTACCTCTCCCTGGTCCTTTATCCATCAAATTTGTCACAGGTATAATTTTGACTACATGACTATTTATGTTTTGATGCTGTCCTGGAGCCCACACGGTAAAAATGGAGCAAAAAGGAAAAACTCTGGTCAGATCCATCTTAGTGCTTCTGGGATGAATGACTGAGCTCACTCCCTATCTTCCCTCCTTTGGTATCAGTCCACACACCAGTGGCATGGTACCTAACAGGCTGATAACAAGAGACAGTATTGTGCCAGGCCTGTTCTCAAAGCTTTTTCATCTTGGTCGGGTTAGATCTGTGACAATTAAAAAATTCCAAGAGACATAGTTTCTGGGTAATTTAATCATTTTATTAGTAAGACCAGCACATTTATTCATAAAAGGATGGTCATTTGGCCATCTCTCTTAGAACAAAGACCCTTCATGATGGTGAGTTCACAGTTTATATGACCATGGAAGAGTAGGTGTTAACTCTGATTGGTTAACAATTAATGAGAAAATGAATATTGAGAAAATGACAGACTGGGCTATATTATAATGAGGGTCTTGGGGTACTGACTTGGGTCATCCAAATCTTGATCAAGGTGATTTAACAATTTCCATTCACTTGACTGACAAAAGAGAGAATCCACATTTTCCCAGACCTGTCTGAGCAAACACAATGAGCAGGAAAGCACCTATTAACCTAAAATTGGAATTTCTTTTACTGTCTTTGATTAGATCTTAACCATCCTGGCTGGGTAAGTGTTTTAGAAAGATTTCCCACACTGGTTGTTTTCTGGATGAGAAAGCAGAAAAAGGGAAAAACCTTGGTCCTAATACACTATTTAGTTATTAGTTACAAGAGAGAAATACTCATTTCACACAGACCTTAGGTACTGTATTCCCAGATGGCACATTTCCAGATCTTACAGTCCTTTCTCTGAAGCGATGAGATGTCAGTGAAGGTTTCAGATACAATAGAGGGAATTTTCTTTTTTTAAAAAAAAGTGTTCTTTAATAGCACTTGTAATACATTCAGAAGATCATAGGAAGGGACCTTGGAGGTTAGCTAGCCTAACCCTCTCATTATTACAAACATGTAAAATAAGGCCCTCAAAAGGCAAGTGACTTCTAAAGTTCCTACAGGGTAGTAAGGGGCAGAGCCTGGAAATATATGTTTGCAGGTCACTAGTGCTCTGAAAAGAGAGGGAGAATGGAGAATGGATGGAAAACAGGCCTCAGAGTCAGGAATATCTAGGTTGAAGTCCTACCTCTGACCCAGGTACTGACTGTGTGCCCCTGGGTAAATTGAGCTTTTAATGCACCAGAAAACTCTCTAGGACTACAAGTTGCAGAGTTTATGTTCATCTACATTGATAGATGGAATTTCCTCACAGTAGGAGAACCTTACACCTATGAGATTATAAGACCACACACACACTAAAGCTAAAAGTTACTGGAGCTCCCATCTACTACAGACCGGTCAGAAATGAAGATGGAGCGTGTTGAAAAACTTGGTAAGTCACCATGAAGATTGTACTCAATTCACAGAATGTCAAATTCCCTACAACTCTTCCCTGATACAGCAACTGCAAAAAGTGAAGTTTGCCTGCATCACTATCAACAGTGTGGGACAGAGTGAGGTGACTGGGAACAGTCAGGCCAGTTAGTTACACAAGTCCTTGTAGGCCTGGAGCCAAAGGCTTGTTTGCCTTCCTGTGTGGTGGTGTGCAAATGTCCAGGACCCTGTTTAACCTTCTCTCATCTCAGGCCTGACTGGCCAAATAAACATTGCAGAATCTCAGTTCACTGCCGTGAGGATAAAGGGAGGAGAGATCCTGACACCCAGATCAGAGGAATACTTAGGCCCAGGTCCTCATCCTAGAGATTTACCTGAAACCTCTGAATCACAGAATTTCAGAGTTGGAAGGGACCTTTGTTACTGTTCAATTGTTCCAGCCATGTCCAACTCTTCGTGACCCTATTTTAGGGTTTTCTTAGCAAAGATACTGAAGTGGTTTAACATTTCCTTCTCCGACTCATTTGACAGATGAGGAAACTGAGACAAACAGCTGGTAAGTGTCTGAGACCAGATTTGAACTTGGGAAGATGAGTCTTCCTGACCTCAGGCCCAGCACTCTATCCATTGTACCACTGGAAGAAACCTTAGAGGCAAGTTATTCCAACATATACTTGACCAAGAATGCCTCTTCTTTTTCTTTTATTTGTTTTATTCTGAACTTAAGAAATAAAACAAGCATTTCCATAACAGAATAGAAAAAAAAGATGACTGTCCATGAAATGGCACATCTATTATGTACAACTTGTTATTAATTTTAAATGTATAATAAAGTTCTCGTGTAACTATCTTTTTTTCTCCTTTTTTTCTTCTTTCCCCACACCCTAGAGATGGCTACCATTAAACACAAATACGTATATATGTGTAAGACCATTCTATACATACTTCCGTTTATCAGTTCTTTCTTTGTATTCAGATAGCGTCTGCCTTCATCTGTCCTTTTGTAGCTAATTTGGGTATTTATAATAGTCAAAGACTGCTTCTGCAGAATCCCAAGAAATGGTTGTCCAGCCTCCACTTGAAGACATCCAATGAGGAGAAGCTGACCATCTCCTAAGGTAGCCCATTTTATTTTTGACAATTCTTTTTTTTTTTTTAAGGCAGCTGGGGTTAAGTGAGTTGTCCAGAGTCACACAGCTAGTTAAGTGTCAAGTGTTTGAGGCTGGATTTGAACTCAGGTCCTCCTGACTCTGGGGCGGGTGCTCTATACACTATGCCACCTAGCTGCCCCTTGACAATTCTAATGAACAGGAAGTCACTACTACCCCAACCCCCCCTCAACATCTAGCCTAAATCTGCCTTCTTTCAACTTCCACCTTTTGGCCGCTGGTTCTGCCCTCTAGGGCCAAGCCAAACAAATCTAATCCCTCCTGCACCTGACAGCCTTCAAATATTTGAAAAAAGCAATTGTACTTTCCCCTAATCCGTTTGTTCTCTCCAGGATAAACATCCCACTTTCCTTTAACTCTTCCTCAAAGGATTAAACATCCCTAATTCCTTCAGGCCATTCTCAGACCGAGTGGTCTCCAGTTTGTCAGCATCCTTCTTCAACTATAGTTCTCAGAACTGAGCACAATCATTCAAATGAAGTTTGGGAAGGTCAGGGGATAGGAGAACTATCCCCTCCTTTTTCCCCTTGACATAATGCTGCTTTCTATCAATGCCTGAGACCAGTTTAGCATTTTAAGCTGCTACGTCATACTCTGACCCGAACTGAACCAAAAATCCAATAAAATCCCTGATCAAGGTAACGAGAATGGTGGTTTTGCCATGCCGCCCACATTGTGTATTTGCATGGTTGATTTCTGGAACCCAAGTGTAGGTTATTAATCACCGTATAATTGTTGGCTTCAGTTCGTTGTTACGAGAGGATGTAAGCAGGGGGTGTGCTGATAAATCTTTAACAATCAGCTCTCAAAAAAATGTACACAGGTAGCATTTTTGAATTTAATATGTATTAGTAACATTTTCTCCATTACTTTCTTTTCTTTTTTAAAAAATTTATTAATTTATTTTGATTTATCAACAATCACTTCCATATGCTTTTGAGTTGAAAATTTTTCTCCCCCTTCCTCCCCCCCACCCTCCTCAAGACGGAACACAAGCTGATATAGGCTTTACATTTCCATACCCATTAAACATATTTTCACATTAGTGAAGTTGTAAGTAAAAATTAAAACCAATAGGAGGAACCATCAGAAAGAGGAAACAAAACTCAACAGAAGGTAAAAATAAGTGATAGCGATTCGGCTTCCATAGTTCTTTCTTTGGATGTGGACAGCATTTTCCATCCTGAGGCCTCTGGAGATGCCTTAGATCCTCGTGATGCTGAGAAGGGTTCAGTTTAACAATCTTAGTCATTGAATAACGTGGCTGTTATTGTGTACAAAGTCCTCTTGGTTCTGCTCACTTCACTCAGCATCAGACCATATAAGTCTTTCCAGGTTTTTCTGAAGTCAGCCTGTTCATCATTTCTTATAGCACAATAGTATTCCATTACATTCATATACCACAACTTGCTTAGCCATTCCCCAATTGATGGGCATCCTTTCAATTTCCAATTCTTTGCCACCACAAAAAGAGCTGCTATGAATATTTTTGTACATGTGGGTCCTTTTCCCATTTGTTTGATTTCTTTGGGATATAGCCCTAGAAGTGGTATTGCTGGATCAAAGGGTATGCACATTTTTGTAGCCCTTTGGGCATAGTTCCAAATTGTTCTCCAAAATGGTTGGATCATTTCACAACTCCACCAGCAATGTATTAGTGTTCCAATTTTCCTACATCTTCTCCAACATTTATCATTTTCCTGTTTTGTCATGTTGGCCAATCTGATAGGTGTGATGTGGTACCTCAGAGTTGTTTTGATTTGCATTTCTCTAATCAATAACGATTTAGAGCATTTTTTCATATGACTACAGATGGCTTTAATTTCTTCATCTGAGAACTGTCTGTTCATATCCTTGACCATTTATCAATTGGGGAATGGCTTGTGTTCTTATAAATTGTCTTAATTCTCTATATATTTTAGAAATGAGGCCTTTATCAGAGAGACTGGTTGTAAAAATTCTTTCCCAATTTTCTACCTTCCTTCTAATCTTATTGCATTGGCTTTGTGCAAAAACTTTTCAATTTAATGTAATCAAAATTATCCATTTTGCTTTTCATAATGTTCTCTATCTCCTGTTTGGTCATGAATTCTTCTGTTCTCCATAGATCTGATAGGTAAACTATTCCTTGTTCTCCCAGTTTACTTATGGTATCAGCCTTTATATCTAAGTCATGAACCCATTTTGACTTTATTTTGGTATATGGTGTGAGATTTGGGTCTATGCCTAGTTTCTGCCATACTCTTTTCCAGTTTTCCCAGCAGTTTTTTTCAAAGAGTGGGTTCTTATCCCAGAAGCTGGGGTCTTTGGGTTTATCAAATAATAGATTACTATAGTCATTGCCTACTTGTGTCTTGCATATTTAACCTATTCCACTGATTCACCTCCCTATTTCTTAGCCAGTACCAGGCAGTTTTGATGATTGCTGCTTTATAATACAATTTATAAAGGTGGAATTGCTAGGCCACCTTCCCCTGCATTTCTTTTCATTAGTTCCTTTGATATTCTGGACCTTTTGTTTTTCCAAATGAATCTTGTTATTATTTTTTCTAACTCTATAAAATAATTTCTTGGTAGTTTGATTGGTATGGCACTGAATAAGTAAATTAGCTTAGGTAGGATTGTCATTTTTATTATATTAGCTCGGCCTACCCGTGAGCAACTGATGTTTTTCCAATTATTTAGATCTGATTTTATTTGTGTGAAAAGTGTTTTGTAATTGTGTTCATAGAGTTCCTGCGTTTGTTTCAGTAGGAAGACTCCTAAATATTTTATAATGTCTACAGTAAGTTTAAATGGGATTTCTCTTTCTATCTCTTGCTGTTGGACTTTGTTGGTAATATATAGGAATGCTGATGATTTATGTGGGTTTATTTTATAGCCTGCAACTTTGCTAAAGTTGTTTATTATTTCAAGTAGTTTTTTACTTGATTCTCTAGGATTCTTTAAGTATATCATCTCCATTACTTTCTTAAGGCTAGACGATCAATGAAACAATAAATCAGGCTCTGATTTACGGTGTTTGCCCATTTCTGAAGCATAAAATGCTTACACTGAAAATTCAATAAGTCCTTAGGAGTCATTTTGAGCTGACTCTAACACTCCCCTGAATATAGGTCTGGTAACTTCAACTCTGGCCAAGTTAGTTCTCCTTCTAAGCAGTATGGTGGGATGCAGAAAGCTTTGGTTCCCTTCTTGGCTCGGCCTCTGCTATACCTATGTATCGTTTAAACTTTCTGAGCCTTAGATTCTTCGTGGGGAAAGTGAGAACAATCACATTTGTATGAAGAGGGGGCAGCAGATAGAGAATTAGCTTCTGACTGAAGAAGACATGGGTTCAAGTCTTCCCTCTAACATATATTGGCTGTATGCTTTAGAGCAAGTCAATTAACCTCTCAGTGCCCCCAGAGAACTCTGAAAAAGACTATAAATTGTAGACAGGTGGCCAATGTGCATTAGTAGAGGGCATTCACTCACTGGAACTTCCTCATGCTAATGAAATTATATCTTGTGGGGGGGGAGCAGCTAGTGGATAGAGCACCAGCCCTGAAGTCAGGAGGACCTGAGGTCAAATACAGCCTCAGACCAAGCGCTTGACACTTGCTAGCTGTGTGACTTAACCCCAATTGCCTTAAAAAAAAAAAAAAAAGAAAGAAATTATATCTGGAACAATAACAAAATACTTGTACCTCCAAGGATCATTGTGGGGAAAATATTTTAATGAGATTTTTTTGTTCTTAACTTGACAAACATCAACGTAAATATCCCATATACATATAACAGAAAAAGAGGACAAAATGTGAAACTGAATCTTCATTACATACAACTTTTTTTTTTTTTAAAAAGAAGTACATTCTAAATTCAGGACATCAGTTCTAAAGCTGTCCTATTTGTCTGTGTTTTCCTCTGAACTATTTTTATTCTCTTCTGGGAATTTAAAGAAATGCTTTGTTGACACTATTTTCTTTCTTCTGTTTTTTATAGCATCACTATTACTAGTCCCTTCCCCCCAATTAAAAAAAACAAACCCTCCCTTGTACCAAGTTAGCATAGTCAAGCAAAACAAATCGACACAATGATGATATTTGAAAATGTATGTCCCATTCTGTACCTCTCTAGTCCATTATGTCTTTGGTTTTCTGTTTGTTTTTTTCGAGGCCCTTAGGATTAAGTGACTACCTCTCTTTTTTTTTTCTTTTAATTTTTTAAATAAATTTATTTATTTTTAGCTTTCAACATTCACTCCCACAAGTTTTTGAGTTTCAAATTTTCACCC